ATCATCTCCACATTAATACCAGCTTCAGCACAAAATAAACATGACTAAACATCCGAAGGTAAGTTAAAAGAATGATATAGAGCAGGGCTCTACAGTGCGACCATTTCAGTCGCATTTGTGACTGAAAACTAATACGTGCGTCTATGAACATTTTTTTAGGAGCACCAGTGCGACTGACCCGATCATCATCATATTTGTGATTGCGCTCAGGGGAGCTTCAAAGGTTTCTACGTGTTTTTGCAGCGTTGAGTAATGTATCACAGACATATCTCACGAATCCTTTCATAGCCTAGGCAAAGTGTAGACAGGGTGTAAATAAGAGATTCATTGCGCAGTGTAGAAAGCTTCGTTGATTATAAATGTGAGATCGCGATGATCTAAGATGAGCGACAGCTTTTAATGATTTTTAAGGGAGTTTGTAAATGTGATACTGATTTAATACAACAGTACAATAAACAAGAAGTTAATATTAAGTGACTTACATTGTCTGACTAGAACACTATTGTCTGATGTTGCTCTATTTCGTCGTCAAAAATAGTTTAAAACAGACACAGCGGAACCGCTGCACATCTACATTCAAACACAGCAGTGTCTCGTTTATGAATGAACTGCGTTTTTAAACGAATCTAGTGAGTCAGTGATTCATGATTACCCATTCATAAAGACAGTCACTTGATTCATTCCTGAATGAATCAGCCGTTCGAATGAATCAATTGAATGAATGATTCAGTGATAAAATCAGTTTTAGTTTAATTTTTAAAGTATCTTTTCGGTTATTTAAATTATTTAATATTTCTATATTCAAAATGTTATATTTAAAACATTAATCTCATCATGAATTTATGGATTTAATTGCACTCATGCCACCTCTGAGCCTCATTAAATGTCTGAAAATACACCAAGCCACTTTTGTGTTCTACTGTGCCACCTCTGTACAAATTAATTTTGTTAATACTGATTTCATTTGATTGGTAACTTATGTTTCTTATTCTACTTGTTCTTATTCTGTCGTTTTAATTTCAATTTTAAAAAGCTTATAAAATATAATTTTTAAAGAATTTGACAGAAGATGACATACTTAATAAAGTTAGAAAAATGCCATTACAAAGGTAAAAACAAAATTCACGTTAAATTAATTTTTACAATTTACTGTAAATCACTTTAAGGAGTCAAATATCACCTTGTAATGGGAAGGCTAATTTTTGATAACATTTTGGATTATTGATTAGAAGGTGCTCCTAAAATTTTGACACAAGTGCTCCTAAAAAGAAAAGTAAGCGTAGAGCCCTGTAGAGGGTACAAGACTGACCCATGTGAGGTTGCCGATGTACAGAGCGATTCGTTTGCCAGTGTAGGTGTAGACGACGTTCGGCGCAGCTCCTTTGTTCCCCTCGGATCCTCCCGGCACAGGCAGGTTGTCCAGATAATCTCGGTCTTCAGGTGCGTCCCCGTTGTTGGCAGATGGTGACATGACATCATCATACAGGTCAATCTGCTCATGAACAGGATAATCTGACTCCTGTGGAAGCAGAAAGACAAACACGCGTTTCAGAAATATTCACAGGACAGGCATCTCAACCATGAGCCATCACGGAGATACTAGTTAATTCTTTCCCGGTTTTCATTTTAGTTGACATTCCAGTAATTTTGTTGCGCTTATCACTTTTATTAATTTAAATTAAATTTTCTTTATAGAAATGTATTATTTAAATTACATAATGTAACTATTTTTATCTATTATTTTCCTGTTTTAATTTTAATTTGTTAAATATTTAGTTTGTTTAATTTTATTTGTAGTAATTGTGTTGTGTAAAAAATTATCTAACATATATTTTTCATTTTATTTTAATTTTACTTAGTTTCAGTAATTTTTTTTTATGTGCTCGACATTTTGATTAGTTTCCTTTTAAAAATATTTAATTTAATATTTTTGGTTTTCATTTTTATTTTAAAGGTTTAGTAATTTTGTTGTTTGTCATTTTACTAGTTTCTTTTTTAAATGTCTATAAATTTTATTGCATTTTTTTCAGTTTGTTATTTAGAACTAGGGCTGTGCAATTAATCGAAATCGTCATAAAATCGCGATTTGAGCTTGCGCGATTTCTAAATCGCTTTATAGCACGATTTTCCGCGCCCCCGACCTCCCGCAGTATGCTATCCGAACCAATCAGAATGCAGTGCGCCTAAATGGAGCACGAGAACAGAACAGACCGGGCAGGCATACAAACGTAACGCCAGGTTCACACACTCCGTCTGTGGTGCGTATTTTTTCCGCGCCCATGTTAACGGATCAGAGCGGTCACACTGCACACGATTGCGGTCCGGCAGTGCGCTCCAGGAGCAGTGCGTCTGCAGCAGTCATGCTGCGATCGTTTCCGCACGGAGTCTATTTCTGCTGTGCTGCACGCGCTGAAATAAAGTGACAGCGCATTATTCGCGGTAAAAATTAACATGGATTGACACGGAAATGTAGTAATTACACCATAAATGCATATAATTAAAGTCTACTCTTTCACAGTCAACACATGGCTTTTTGGCTAGATTTAAAACAAGGAAAAGTGCACTTTTAGATAAACAAGGCAATAATAGATGGCACTCGTGGTGGTAGTTAAACAAAGTTATATTTATTGAGTTTAAACGTGAATATGTCTATGAAAGATTGTATTACTGTACTGTGATAAAAGAGAATCACAATGCTGAAAAAGCATTTTCAGAAACAACGTTTGGATTTGAAATCAAAATAATGGATA